TCTCACCTACATCGTCCACAAGGGACGACTCGGGAACTCAACTCCTACCTCGGGCAGCTCACCTATCCCCCTATGCCCAGGGGAAAGGTATCAAGCCGTTTGACAGCTGATGCAGGCTGTCAAAACGGCTTTTACGCAGAAACAGGCGGGAGCAGCAAACAGCTGCGTCCAGCGAAGTCGCCTGCCACCGGAAGTCTCTCAGCCCATCCTGTTTTAAGATTGTAACTAGTGCATCCAATAGAGCTGGCCAAAGAATCTCTTGGCCATGGTGTCGGACGTGCCCCAGTTAGGTCTCTAGGGAAGGAAAGACTCTCAACTCCCTTTGGTGGAAGTGATAGGTTCTTTTACTAGAGGTTACTGGCTGCAGTAAAAGCAGGCTAGAACTAAGGTTCCTGCACAAAACGTTACAAACTTTCCCCTTCCATCCTGGCCCTCCCCCCTTGACCACTTCATCTTTGGCCAATAGAGAGCCACACAGAAGTGTTTTGAGAATCACAATCCACATTCCATTCTCAGGCTTCCTGATCTCAAAGGCTGGCACAGGCTGATTCTGTGCATCTCTGGTCTCCATCAAGATGTCAGTCACCTCCTGATTCCCCATCTCTGCCCCATACATGTTTTTTGCCCATTTGTTCCCTGCCCCCCCGCCCCCTAGCTTTTGATGCAAGGCGCCAAGCTAGAGATGGCAGAACTGACATATGGCTTTCATCTGCTCATCTAGCAGGATCTGTGAGTCCAAGAGGACACCCCCCCCCCCAAGATTGAAAATATGCTGGTCCTGGGAGAGGACAATTCTGCTGGGAGTCATAGTTGGTACAGTCATAGAGTCAGTGGGTTTCGGAACTGATTCTGTCTTGGGTTACGTTACTGACCATCAGTATTCACTCACAGTACTGGAACTGATAGAAATATGTAATATCCTCCAATTTTTCAGTACATCTAATCTAACAACACAAGCATACAGTAGTACTTTTAGATTTCATGCATTTAAAAGTGGCTTCATTCTAGTTAACATTTCTGAATAATGAAAAAAAAAACTATACCTTTTTTTTTTTTAAAAAGTACGAGGTCACCATGCCTGAGTGAAGCATGCCCTGTTAAGAGATTTTTCTCTCAAACTGTTTAATATATAAAGTCTGTTAATGTTCATGTATGGGAAACAAAAAAAATATTAAAATGTAATAGTTTTTTTTAAAAAAAAACCTAAAACATCAAATAAGATGCTCATTGCCTTACCAGAAATATTTTAAACTACTTATCACTCTGATGATTAAAAAAATACTTGGAGCAAGTTTGTTTAATAGAATACCTAGCTTCTGTTAATCATTAAGCTTGGCCTGAGGGAAAATGGGTTTTCTCCCCCTTTTATTTTTTCCTATCACAAGCATTCAGAATTGTAACAGAACAACTTATTCCAGCTTTCAAAAGAAAGTAATATTTGGGTGGCTTCCCCCCCCATCTTTGATTCAGTACCAGAAAGGAGAATGGAACAAAATGAAAATTTAAGAATTTAAAGGAACTGTACTGAACAACTAATTCTGAATTTTTATTTACCACAATCAGAATGTTGGATCAGAAAAGAGGAAAAAACCAATGCTAAAATGGTAGGTTTCAAAATTTATTAATTTTGAAATAAGTATATTGATAATGTTTGTTTTACTGTAGATTAATTATTTTTTTGGGGGGGAGAGACTCCAGGATATATTTGACCAAAGCCGCATGTCTAGATGTGCTTTCCCATTCTTAATGCTGTTCACCTACTGACCTAGAGATTTTCTAACCAGGATACCAGCTGTATACACCACTGTTTGTTGCTTAGCACAAAGGTTTTGTGCTATTCTTTTCTAAAGTTGGGAAATCTTGTCATATTGTAAATTGATCTAAAGAAATAAATTGTTATATATGAAACATTTCATGTAGTTAGGGAATGAAGTGAAAGTAATGGAACTCTCCCTCTCACTTCAAATTTGTGTATTGCCATACAGAATGGTTTTTAGTCCTGTTTTCAATGATAGTGAAATTAAACAAATCCATTAAATCTACAAAATGCTTTGATAAAATCAACCAAGCAGCTGGTACTAGAAGGATAATAACAAATAAGCCACTTTATTAATTCTTTGGGAGGGAATTTCATTATGGGATACATAACACCTAGTTTTTGAAGGTGGAACATTAATAGATGGATCCAAATATAGGCAGATTAATACAACCATAAGAATTTAGTTAGTAGGGGTCCAAGCTGTTAATGCCTTTATAAATAAGCACCAGTGGTTCAAATAGAAACAGAAAATCTGCCTGAGATTATTTTCTTATGGAAGAGAGATGCTTTAAATCATATCCACAACTTCTCTGCATTCAGAGACATTGCATATACCTCTTAAGATAAAAGCAACTATATGTTGACTAATGACATAAAATGGTGGGATGTTGCCTTAGA